CATTGGGAGAATCAAGGATCCAAGTCAGCCTGGGCATTCATTCTCTGGGCATAACCCTAAGACCCCTTCTCAACCTACAGCTTGTTACAATGGTTCCTGTCATTTCTGCTATAACATGAATCCTAAAATAGGCAGAATCCTAAAATAGGCCTACAAGTTTGCCTAGACAGGAAATAAGACCTTACCTCAAAAATAATTAGCACAGGGCTGGGAAGGTGGCTCAGTGGTAGAGTGCTTGCCTCACATGAATGGGGCCCTGGATTCAATTCCTCAGCACCACATAAGCAAAAAAAGCCGGAAGTAGCACTGTGGTTCAAGTGGTAGAGTGCTAGACTTGAGCTGAAGAGCTGAGCAACAGTGCCCAGGCCCAGAGCTCAGGCCCCACGACTGACAAAAAACAAAAAAAAATGGCTTAATTTAGGGGAGGTGGATGGGAGAGGGGAAAGTAGGAGAAAATGAGTAAGGAGTAACACTGTTCAAAAAAAATGGTAATCAGCACAGAAAAAGGGACGAAGGGATGGTCTAGCAAGTTCAAAGCTTGAGTTCAAACACCTGGGATGGCACCAGAAAAAAAAAGTTAAAAGTTTAAAAAAATGAAGAATTCCCTGTACCCTACAACCTTCTATACCACCTTCAGACCCTCTTGAAATGGTAGCTGGGGAAAGGAAGACTGAGCCACAAGTGGGATTCTTTGTCTGAGTGTTAAGGAAACTTCATGTATTTCCACTTGAAGCATACAAATAACTTCCTTTTATAAGCCCCAATCATATCTTGTTCTGGCTTAGCCCAGGCAATGAAGGAACTTGGAGGCAGAAGGCAGTTGCAATTTTTACAAACTGAATTTTTATTTCATGGTATCGTCTAGACATAGCAAAGAATTTCACTCTCCCAAAGCAAGTTGCCAGTCATTGCAAATGCAGGCTATTATTTAGAAGAGAATATATTTGGTCTGCATCAGTCAGTGTTTAGAAAGTACCCCATGACTGGAAGTTGGGGCTTTTTTGTATTATTTTGTTTTTCTTTTCAAATAGTTTATCTTGAGTTGTGCTGCCTAATACAGTTGTCATGACTAAAACTAATTTTAAATTTCAATACATCAATCCTAGTAGCCGTATTTAAAGAGCTCAGTAATAATGCATGGCTACTACCAGACTAGATGAGACAGATACCACATCTCACATCATGCCAGAAAGTTCTATGGGACAGTACTGGTCTAGAAGGAATTCACTTATTCACATCATAGTTTATCTTTTCCATCAACTCCTACTCCTATCGCTAATTGTCAAGCGGAGTGTTTCCTGTATCTGTCTGCCAGGAAATCTGGAAGTGGCTGTTTATTCTTGGCTAAAGGTGATGAAGAGCATAAACTTACAGTTACCCCAGAGAGAATGTCTTCATTAGCATGTCCCTAGCTTGCTCAGCCATGCAGTAGGGAAAGGTAACATGCAGCCCCATGCTTTAATAGAACCCACCTGCATGCAGGTATAAATCACTTAGTTAATCTGTGTCTCTTGAGCCTTATAATTGGATAATGCAACTCATTCTTTGGCAGCCTTGTTCTGCGTACTGAGTTTAGATCTAGAAGCATAGAGTCCTTTGAAACCTATCCATCGACCCCATTGAGATACAATGATTACCCATCTTGGCTCTGTTCTGGGCTTATGAGAGCAAAGTCTGTATATTACTTATCTTTTTACCTCCAGTGATGAGCCAGGATCTACCTGGCATGTAGAGACACTCCAGTGAATGTTTGTTGAAGAAATTAATCAATTACCTAATCAATCAAGATGCTTTTAGTGTTCCCAGTAGGATGTTGGCTGATTAGTCCTTCAGAGAGTTCATTCCCCAGCACAGTGATTTGCAAAACTGGCTGCACATTAGAATTGCTTGGGGAGCTTTTGAAAATGACTGAAACCTTTCCCACCAGTAGAATCTGAATCTTGGATGGTAGTGTTCAGGTGTCAGGGGTTCTATAGACATTCCCCAGAAATAGTGGTGAGAACCACAAGTTGCTGATTTGACAGCCATAGGTAAGTCTTCATCTTTCTTGGCATTGTTGCTCAAGTTCCGGGCTCATGTGTAGTCATGCCATCAGATCCTGCCGGTTTCATGGTCCTCAGCTATAGGTAACTGTTCCCAAAGAGATGATAAGGCTCCATGCTAACTCTCTTTCAAAGTTGTTCTGAAGAGTCAGGATAGTACTGCATTGAAACAACACGAGGTAGTATCTTCTTTTCATTTTCTCCACTGGAAGCCAAGCTTAGGACTACTGCTGACATCATGTGGAATTATATTAAAAGCATACTACACAGACAACTGCATGCTATGATAGTAAAATATGTCACCTTCTGATCACATTTATTAGAAGAAAAACTCAAGACTTGAAGATAAATGAACTAAAACTCTGTGTTAAGTGTGGGTAAAATATGAGTTGAGAATATGGGAAACCTAGAGAATAGATATTTGCAGGTCCTGCCTATGAGTCTCAGCTGGATAAATACGTATTGGCTGGAAAGATCTCCCTTTGGCTAGCAGAGGGATACTGGATAACTCTAAAGGTCAGCATAGATGGGAAGAAGTAACGCTGATCAATGGCAGAGACAGAGACAGAATCCAGGACAACAGCACAGCATAGGTAACAAAGATATAGATGGGAAGAAGATGGTCAGGTAAAACTGTGACTAGGAGAAAGAGAAAAGAAAGAATATAAGGCTAAGAATAGACTAAATGTTTCTAAACTACCAAGAAATCCAGGAAGTACTAGACATCCTGTGACGTGGGGTCTCTCTGTACTTGCAAATGGAAGATGTTTCTCAAGAGGGACACATAGTAAGATTTTTGTATTTTCTCTTTCTAGTTCCAAATATCATATAATAATTGTTCCCTAACCTTAAAAAGATGTGAGTATGTTGTTAAATTGAGCCAAGAAATGGATACAAAATGATGTCCAAAATGTATTGGGCATCTTCAATGTACCTGAGACCAAATAAGACTGTACACACACTGCATGTTAATTCTCTCGGTAAATCTGCAAGGATTTCTCTGTCACCAACCCCATCTTAGAAATGAGAAAACTGAGGCTAATTGGCTGTCAGCATCACATCCATGTGACTCCAAAGAGATGCATTTTTCCTCAGGCACCCAGATCAACCCTCATCTGAATTTGCGAAAATTACCCATCACCCCTCAGCTCTGTGGTCCAAAGGCCACCTCTTCTGTCACCAGGCAGGTGACAGACAGCTCACACCGATGCTGGTGACCCTCCCACATTTTCATTATGTGAGGATATGGTGAGGGTTTTATGAGACTCCACCACAGGCTGTTTTTCAAATTTATTTAATTCATCCATCATGCTCTGAAGCCATTTGCTTTTTTATATTGGACAGATGTAATGAGATTTTGGACACTAAAAAATGTTTTTATTAAAAGTTATGACCCAGAGCTAGTTGGTAGGGGCCCTGCCATAAATCCCTAAGAGTGTGTGAATTTATAAAGGATGTAGCGACATAACCTTAACCTTTTAGGTTAGGCCACGCCATAGATTACAAGATCACTTAGACTAATACCAGCCTACCACACCTTTGGCCAAGACATAATAATAACTATTTCAGCTGGGCACATGTGGATCAGACCTGTCATCCTAACTACTTAGGAAGCTGAGATTGGAGGACTGTAGGTTGAAGCCAGTCCAGGTAAGAAAGTCTGTGAAGCCCTTACCTTCAGTCAGCTAGCAAAAAGCTAGAAGTGGAGGAGTAACTCAAGTGGTAGAGTACCAGCCTTGAGCAAAAAAGCTAAGGAGCAGCACCCAGGCTCTGAATTCAAGCCTCAACACTGACAATAATAATAATAATAAAATAATAATAATAATATCAGCTATTATTATTTCTGCGATTATTTGTGGACTTTCTTCTTATTGTAGCCACAGTAAGATCATGGTGAGCTGGTGCCTAGTAAAAACAGGTGGCCGGTGGCAGGCTTCACCTGAATGACAGTGGACCAGATCCATAGCCCCTAGTCATCATTTTTACAGAGCAAAAGTCATTCGCAGCAAAGGAGAGGCTATTGGTGGCAGTTTCTTTCTTCCGCCACTGCCAACATGCAGCTTTCCTCAAAATTAGGAAAGAATGCATAACAACTCCATTTTAATGCCAGTATTAGATTTATAGTAACATTACACTACTTGGAAATCATCCAAAAGATAATTCGCTTATACATATAGACGAAAATGTGGTCATTAAAAATATGCAGGTGGAATAGATGTTATATGTATTATCTATAGGATGTAATATATGCAATAAAAAGAGAATTTAAGAGAACAACTAGATTTGGCCAGCTGCCAGCTACTTTGAAGACATGCATTCATTCACGTAGTTTAAACAGTGCGGTGCATCAGACTGTTGGATGTTGTTGGCTGTATAGGACTAAATGCAGCCTGGTCCATAAGTAAGGGAACTCCCTGCTCTGAGGGTTCTCCAAGGAGGAGGATGGGCTCAGAGGAAAAGGTCAGCGTCATGGGAGAAGTGACTTGCAGCACTGAAAGACAGCAATGAGCACTGAGCGTGGGGGCATGAGGAGAAGAGCATTCTGAACAGAAAGTACAACAGGCACAAAGAAACAGACAACACTAGCTGCTCCTTGAAGTGGTAAGCGAGGCTAAGCCACAGTTGCACGTTTTCCTTATACATGGGTAACTTCAAGTGTACCTATTTCACTTCGATCAATAGCCACTACTGAGACTATGTAATGTCCATAATTGTGCGAAGATGGATTCGAAACAAATACATTTGCTGCCGCCGTATTTTTCCAACTCACTTCCATCTCACTACCAACTGCTTACGCTAGAAATATATTCTAGGATTTTTCTCATACATCGGATACAGCTCCCGCCTACGGAGACCAGGGGAGTGTAAACCATAGATACTGTCATCATTAAAGTCATAAATCCATTTCATTTGTGTGTCATTCACTCCATCCTCATTCATCATCCTTTCCACTTCCAGAAGAGCCAGCCATTGGAGGATTTTGAGGAGCGGTTTGCTGCAGCCACCCCGGTAAGAAGGAGAGGGCTCTGTCTAGTTAACTGTTTCCTGTCACTGTACCATCATTCATGTCATGCTCATTCTTCATGCCTTGTGGTTGCAGAACAGAAACCTGCCGATGGACTTTGATGAGATTCTGGCAGCAACAAAGGTAAGGGGTCAAAGTTGCTCTGAAGTGAGGGTTGTTCTGCTCATTTTCCTTCATTCCATATTGTCTTTACCCACCCCACAGGAGGGGCTGTTGCTCTGCTCCATGCTGCTCTGGTGGGGGTCTGTTCCAACGCTCATAGGAAGATTTTAAGTGGACTCTGTCATGAAGTCAAATAATGAGAGTGTATGTGCACACAGATGTGTGTGTGTGTGTGTGTGTGAAAGTGCAAGGCAGTGTGTGTTGAAGAATAGTTAATACCCCCTTTTTATTTAACAAGTGTGTGTATGTGTGGGGGTGAGAGAGAGAGCATGTGTATGTGCATGCATGTGTGTGTGCCAGTTCTAAGGCTTGAACTCAGAGCTTAGGTATTGTCCCTTAGCTTTTTCACTCAAGGCTAGTACTCTACCACTTGAGCCACAGCTCCACTTAAGGCTTTGTGGTGGTTAATTGGAGGTAAGAGTCTTACAAGGCTTTCCATGTTGGGCTGTCTTCAAACTAAAATCCTGAGATCTCAGCTTACTGACAAGCTAGGATTGTAGGTGTGAGTCACCAGTGCCTGACTCAACAAGTATTTTGGAGCCCTAAGTTATCATAGGAACTCTCACAGATGCTAGAGGAGCAATAGAAGGGAAGATACCCTCTGTCCTCAAGAAGCTCATGATGTCATCTAGCTAAATGTTGCACATATTAGGACAGAGCAGGGAAGATAAGTGTGACAGGCTTGACCCAGCTTTGCTTAGCATAGTATAGTGTAGTATAGTATAACAGAGAAGGAAATTGGAGACAAAGAAATTGTGCCAAATGCAACATTGTGAACCAAAATTAGGCCAGGCTTTATTCATGTGTTATATATTCTAGCAGAGATGCACTGGTTTGCAGCCAATGTTTGTTCAGATGGCTGATGCATAAACCAGGGAGGGTAAGCCCCTTGAATACATAGGGCAAAGACTGAGCCATGGTAGCAATGGAGCAGCTCTAGGTGACTCAGCTCTTCCTTCATCGAATTCATTAATCAATAGAATGGGGCTGGAAAGTTGGCTCAGTGGTAGAGTGCTTGCCTCACATGCATGAAGCCCTAGGTTCAACTCCTCAGCACCACATAAGCAGAAAAAAGCCGGAAGTGGTGCTGTGGCTCAAGTGGTAGGGCGCTAGCTTTGAGCTGAAGACCTGAGGGACAGCGCCCAGGCCCAGAGTTCAGCCGCCACAACCAACAAAAAAAAAAAGAATCAATGAGAGTCAGGCATCAATGCACCCCGATTAAGAAACACTGATCTAGAAGTATCATATCAGTGGTATGGGGCAATGGGATGAAGCCTGAGCCAAGTAAGACTCACTTCCCAGAGTCAAAGGAAAAGTGAGTTTATGTCTTGAAAGAAGGGTGAGAAAGACAATGGCGGAAGGAATAAATGAGTATTCTAGGTAGGAGCAGGAGTGCCCCCAGTAGCCTCTCTTTTCAAGGATCCCTGTGTCCTGTTCTCAGCAGACATTGTCTGCCTTTCCATAAACCAGCTCAAGACAGTAGGAACCAAAGCATGCCATCCTCAGCTCTGGATCCCTTGCTCTTGGCATAGTAGCGGATGCATGGCAGGGATTCCCATCTTTTCTTGCCTGAGGGTCCCTAAGGGATACTAATGCCAATACATAGGGATGAGTCTGAGAGACGATGTCACGACCTATCAGCCCTCCTCAGTGTCACTGCCAGAATTTCTCCTTTGAGGGGTCCAGGTCTGGTGGCAGCACTCTAGTTGACAGAAGGCTCTGGGGGACTAATATCGAATCAGCAGTCACAGAGATTTCCATATATCTTTGGGGAACCATCACTTGCTGAAATAAATAAGTGACTAGGGAAGAGTCAGCCTGATGGAGATATTGAGGGACTGACAGGTAAACATCTCAGCTCTTCTCTTTCACTGGCTGGAACAGCCTTCAGTGTCACCCAGCACCCTAAAGAAGGGTAGCTACCATCCATAGCTACACATCTTTCTACCTAAGCCGTTCATAATGCCAGTAATAGACAGCCCTTCCCCTGTGGCAAGTAGATAGCCCCATGAGCTGATGTTCCAAACACTCCCCATTGATATGAAGACCTCTTAGGTTCCCTGGCTTCTAACTGGAGGATTTGTAGAGCTGGACTTCCCCCCTTCAGCAAAACGAAGTAGCGTTTGGGGAAGTGACAGATAAACAAGGTGCTGGTTGGCCTGTAGGTCAAGTGCATTTTTTTCTTCTTTTCTGCTACCTGTATCACAAGTAGGCCACTTATCCCCAATCTCAGTTGGTCCCTGGGTGTAGAGTGCCAATAGTGGCAATGATGTCAAATTTATTGGGCTCAGTGTGTGTCAAACATGATGATAATGTATTAGAAAGTGTATTATAAGCTATAAAGTGTTTTACAAATGTGAACTCTCATTTTTATTCTCTGGAGGCCTTTAAAGTGATTAATTAGAGCAATATTTTCAGATGGGACATGGTTTATTAGGTTACAAATAAAAGGACTGAGGTCCACGTCGGGAGGCGGGGAGGAGAGCTGTGAAAAACAGATACTATTGCAGATTCTCAATCATACATAGTTATTCAGATTATTCTCAATTTTATGGCCCAAGAAACCCCCCACCTTTTTTTCTATAAAATTTAATTAACTCAAGGTTCTATTTAAACAGCAAATCCAATGGAACGAAATAACAATCTAGGTTTTATGCTTCTCTGTGTTTTTCTCATTTAATCTTTGAGTGAAAATCATCTGGCAAGAGGAAAGCCTATATCTCAAGAACGAAGGCTATCTTAGAAGTTGTGCTTAAAGGAGAAAATTAGCCGATAAATTATATTTACGACGTGAGCGAAAGTATGCCAGTAGTCCAACACATCTGAAATGTAAATCGTGTGACTTAATTATTAACTTCATTTTAATATTTTCCTAACGTGGAAAATAATGGTGGGGCATGTGAAAAAGTGTTACCATTCCAACTGTAAGCAAGCGCTGAAGCTTTACTTGAATTCATTAGACTAAGCTAATCCTTTCAGGAACGGGGGGGGGGGGGGGGGGGGGGGGGGGGGGGCTTCTGAAGTCTGGCCTACTTTCAGCAGATCACATAAAATATAGCAGGCATGCTGAGGGAAGTCTCTGGAGGATGTGGCTGGATCTCAGAGAGCATCCTGCATGTCAGCCCATTCACTCCCTGCAGCTTCCAGACTGTCACTATGTGAGAAGGAATCCAGTTGTGAGAGAGGACTGTGAAATGCACACAGGTCCGATCCCTGTCCTTTCTTCCCCTCCCTTCCCAAGACATCAGCTTCTTTTCCCACCACCCCTGCTGCTGCTCCTGGCTCATGCAATTTGCTCCACTTGGAAGACTTTCATTTTCTTCATCACTTGGCATATTATTCCTCTCTTTCAGGATTCAGGACCAAGCTGTTTCCTTTGGAAAATCCTCAACAAACTTCTTGCCCCTGCTTTAGTTTTGTATGTCTATATGCCTTGTGCTCTTGCTTGACTTTTCCTACTTGTGACTGGTACTGTACCACTTGAACCTTCTCACCAGTGCAGCATTTAGCTGGTTGATTAAAGACAGAGTCTTCGGGCTGGCTTTGAACTATGATCCTCCAAGCCCCAGTCTCCTGAGTAGCTACAATTGCAGGCATTAGCCACTGGCGCCCAACTCTTCTTGCCCTTTTTAGGTGCCCCCCCATCTCAAGGCTCCATCTTGAAATCTCTCTTCTTTTTTTTTTGTTTAATTTCTTTTTTTTTTAAGTTTTATTTTATTTTATTTGAGAACATACTGTACAAAGGGGTTACAATTATATGGGCAGGATAATGCATACATTTCTTACCAAGCATTGCAGCCTCCTCCTTTGTTTACCCTTCATCCCCCTTCCCAGCCTCTCCCCTCCCCCCCAACTTGAAATCTCTCTTGTTCCTGCCATATTACCTTGGAATGATCTACACCCATGGGTTGTCCTCTGAGGATAAGAACTCCCTGCAGGCTCGGATTTGGCATTTCTTCTTACAGCAGTCCCAGAACTTAGCGCAGTGCTCAGCACCTAGTGCTTGCTCAAGGTTTATAGGAAGAATATTATGCGGTTAAATGTATAGAACTTCCAGTGTGCCCAGGTACTGTTACTCAACCTCCAAGCTCAAGAGGAAGATCAGGTAACAGTGAGTTCACAAAGCTTAGCTTTTCTCTCAGCAAAAAGAGTTCTTTGGGGCCTTTAAAAAAACAATTTTAAGTCAAACTTCAAATTCTACTGAGGGTGGAATCACTTTTTGGAAATGCTTAGGAGCAAACATTGCAGAATTTGGAATTTAGGCTATAGGCCTGAAAAAATGACCGTGAAGATAATATCAAAGTCTGTACACACAAATTCATTTCTGTCTCATAATTAGATGTGCACATAAGTTGAAGGACCGTAACTTTGGACAGTATCTTCAGAATGCTTGCATTTTTTTTTCCAAAAAGCAATCTAATACCTTTTATTTCAATATCATGTAATTTAAGATAATGTAATTAACATACAATCAGCACTGTTAATAAAACATCTTATAAGAGAAGTTAAAATTATTGAAATGGCATTGAAAATTATTTCCCCCGTATTGTTCGTTGTCTGTTATGTATAAGCTCATAACGCTTGCATTTTGAATGTGACCTGTCACATAGGGCCCCAGCTTGTGCTTGGGATATTGTGTCAACACTCAGGAACTTAAGGATTTTAGAGGATTTTGGATTTTGAATTTTCAGATAACAGATACTAAACCTGAAATGTTGTCAGTAAATATGTAAAAAAGATATGTCATCGCCATCACCCAGCAGGAGAATTGTAACAATAAAATACACTCTCATGTATGAGATGTCTTCCTGAGGGAAGTCTTGCTCATAAGAAGGAAACAATTTGCTTTGTATGAGTCTAAGTTATCTAGCCATATCCTGGTTAGAACAGAATACCTATGCAGGAGATCTGTGTAGCAGAGCTGTTGGACTTTCTTAGTGCCCTCTGTTGGTGTGTTTGTTTCCTCAATTAAAAGCTACCACTTAAGATCTGAAGATGAGTTAAGAGTGGACAGGTTTGCACAAAGCTTGTGATTGTATACCTTTTATAGTTAAGTCAGGCCATTTTAGTTCCTGGCCAGAGATTCTCTATTGCAGATTAATTCCTAAGTACATCTTAAAGAGATTCTTTGGCTGGCGTGGCTAACCTTGCTCATGCGTTCTGTATGGTGGATGGGAAGATAGATGAGTCCGTGTCTGCAGGGATGGAGTTCTGGGGATGATTGATAGTGTATACACTGGGCTGATTTTGATGCTCTTCTTCAGATTAAATGAAATGCTTGCTTTTCCTCAATGACATTTTTTATCCCAAAGGTAGACACTTTCAGAAGCTGAACATTTGATTGCACAGTACACTCTATACACAGAAATTTTAGATCTTGGGATCAATTTATTCATCTGCCAAAATGGGAGGTGATGATTTCTATGTCTCAGGGGTCATGTTATTGGGAGCACATTCTGGAAAGTGATTATGAAATCATCCCTTGTATTTTAGACACGTAGAAGGTGTCTTATATGTGTGGAGACACTAGGAAAGAAAAACCAACTAATGTCATGGGGTTGGATTATTGCCTTGCCTCCTAGGGAAAGACACAGTGTTGGGTTTTAGTAGTAAATCAGAGGGAAGTTGTATTACCACCATGGCTGATGGGCAACATTGACTGAACCTAGGTAAACAGCTAGAAACACTGAAGCAAAAATTGATTCTCTGTGTATCCAAAATGTTGGAATCATGAAGGACTGCAAAGACTGTGTGCACTTGCCATTTGTATAGTCCCAAAGAAAGAGAGGAAGTCTACTCCACTATCAAACTGTTTTAAAGTACCCTGACACCATCTGCTTTCCTAGTTACATGGTTTTCTGTTTGTCTTTTCAGGCTGTGACCCAATTAGAACTTTTTGGGGACATGTCCACCCCTCCTGATATAACCTCTCCCCCTGTAAGTATGCACAGCTCTCCAAGCTTTCCTCACCCACACAGGTGAAGACTTGGGCTTTAAGGGGGAAAGGGCCTATAGCTAATTTTAACTCTTCCTCCTGCAGGCTATGTAACTTGGGTACCTTACCTAGCAATCATGAGACTTAATTTCCTATTCTATTTTAGTTTTTATAAAAGGAATTTTGATAGTGATTAAAATGAGTTTTAATCATTAGCCAGCGTGGGAGTTTTTTCCCTAAGAAAAATAAGTAAGAGACATAACAGTTTTGCTACTTGTAAAATACAAATACTTGGGGCTGGGTATGTAGCTTAGTGGTAGAGGGCTTGCCTAGCATGCATGAGGCTCTGGGTTCGATTCCTCTGTACCACATAAAACAGAAAAAACTTGACACTGGGCTCGTGTGGTAGAATGATAGCCTTGAGAAAAAGAAGCTCAGGGACAGTCCTCAGGCCCTGAGTTCAAGACCCAAGACTGGCAAAAAATGCAAATACACTACAGGAAGTGAATAAAGAATACTTTTTAAAAAAAAATTAAGGTGTAGGGAGGGGCTATCATTCCATAAGTCCATTCTTATTTTTAAAAGAGTAGTTTAAATGTCTGAAAGAAAAACCCTGAAGACAAATATACTGTAAATGATCTGTACAACTTGAGGGGATGGAGGAGGGAAAGTGGGAGACAAATATACAAATATAAATAATCTGTACAACTTAAGGTATTGGGGGAGGGAAAGTGGGAGACAAATGAGGGAGGGGGTAACAAGTTCGACAAGAAATGTACTCACTACCTTACTTATGTAACTAACCCCTATGCACATCACCTTGGCAGTAAAATTTAAATTTAAATTAAAAAAAGAGAAATGTATTGTAAATAAATAATCTTTACCTGTTAAGATAAAGCATATATCATGATATATGCTTCTGAAAGGTAAATGAGACCATGCATTTAGTAGTGATAGGATATTGGCTGGCTTGATTTTCAGGGAATAAGATTATGGTTCTTACCTACAGAAAGCGCACGGTCTAGTTGGGAATACAAGCAAGAGCCTCACATGTGGCATACCACCTCTCCACAGAGCATATCTGACCCTGCACCCAATAGTGTTCATCCCATGAAGGAAGGCCTCCATTTCCCCACCCATTCTGTCCTTCCTTCTCCCCTTCCCTCTCTCTCTCCCACTCTGTCTCATCTCTCTGTCTCTCTCTCTGTCTCTCTTCTTTGCTTTGTGTCCTGCCTCTCTAACCAGAAAGCTTTCAGACTTGCAGAGCATGTCTGTGTTTCCCTATGCTACTCAAGAATCATTCTTAGCCAGAGCTTCAGTTAGAGCATCTCAGCCACCATTGTAAGAGGATGGAGAATACAAATGAAAAATAAAAATAGATTTAAAACCAAAGCAAAATAGAATCCCAATGCAGGTCTATTCAAATGCAACCCTGTGGCCATTGCAAAAGACAGAGAAGGAGATGGTCCCTCCAATCCCTGCTGCCCACTCCCCAGAGGTGGGTGGAGAGCAGTCAGCCACAGCTGTGCCAGCTGAAGCTGCTGGGAGGGGGCTGTTGCTCTCGGCCCTGAGCAGTTGTGCAAACAGAGGGATGATGCTATGGTTCATTGGCGAGATATGCCTCACAGAAAAAAGGGCGGTAACCTCACCACTGAGGACAGATGGCCTCAAACCTTCTTGCCCACAGCTGCCGCCAGGGAATCCAGGCACAGCTGCTCTTCTAACACCTGATGTTTAGGGCAGCCGTGATGGAGAATGCCACAGCTCATTCCCCAGAGAAGCTAGATGGTCAGCTCTTAGTGACTGTGTCCTTCCTGTACCCATAGGCTAACAGCTTCACAGCCCTGTGGGTAGGGCTATACAGCTAGGAAGGACTGAAGAGTTCTTTCCCCTCTGCATTGTAAGGATAAGCGAACTGAGTCCTGGGGAGAGTTGTAGGGCTCATCGTAGGTCACGTGGTGGGATGTGACAGGACAAGCACACTGCTGACTAGATGTGAAAGTGCTTAACACAGCAGCTCATGGCTGTTTCTGGCCCAGAAACCAAGCTCAGTTCAAATGGGTATTTAATAATCCTCAGAACAATGCTACTTGTCCAGCAAGCTGCTCGTCTAAAAATGGCCTTGTCTAATTGCCATGGTTTCAGGATTAATTGCTTACCCCAGTCTTTTTCAAGGGGGGACGGGGAAGACAACAAAGATATTATGACGTCAATCAGATATACACTGTAGGCAAAAACCTATAAAAATGTGAATACTTAAAGAAAGATGACTGAATTTTTGTTTGTGCTTATACTGGGGCTTGAACTCAGGGCCTAGACACTTCTTCCTTAACTTATTTTGCTCAAGACTGGAGATCTACCACTTGTGCCACAGATTAGCTTCTGGATTTTTGTGTTTTTTTGTTGTTTGGTTTGGTTTTGTTTTTACTGGAATTAAGAGTCTCACAGATTTTATTGCCTAGGCTGGCTTTCATTTTTCAATCCTCAACTCTCCACTTCCTGAGTAGCTAGGATTAAAAGTGTGACCCACAAGTGCTCAGCTTGATTTTTTTTTAACTTTAGTAACAACAGTCTTCATGTGGTAGAGCTCTGGAATTCTATCCTGGACTGGACAGTCACTGTAGCATTTCTAACTATGCAATCATTGTTCCGTTGACTCTTTGAAACTTCTTTTTGCAAATAAAGATTCAGGAAAGAATCTGACAGGCACCAGGATACAAAGGTTGTGGTCATGCTCATTCATGACAAATTAACTGTCTTTCATAATTTTTCCAACTGTTTCTTAGCCCCATATTAAGTGGCAAGACCTGAGCTGATGTACAATAGATTAACAGTGTGTATATTTCTATTTGAATTGACTACTTCTAAGGGGCTAAAGCCAGATGTTGTAGAATAACTTGATAGCTTGAAAAGAGGTCAGGGCCCAGGTGAAATGATTGTCACCTTAGCCATTGTTTGCTGAGCACATACTATGTACATGGTGCTAACGGTCATAAAATAATAATCGTTTAAAGCATGGTCTCATTTAGTCCTCAGCATCACTAGAGGTATTATTTTACCTGTTCTATAGATAAAAGTCTCTGTCACCATCATGGTCCGTGCAGCCAGAAGTGGCCTGGACTATGGCTTATTTCTTCAAGCCCCATTCCCATCCCAACTTCCTGTGTCTGTGCTGGCTGCTGAGCTCATCTCACCACTTCTCTCTGACAGACTCCTGCAACTCCAGGTGATGCCTTTCTCCCGTCTTCATCCCAGACACTTCCGGCGAGCGCAGACGTGTTTGGCTCTGTATCTTTTGGCACTGCTGCTGTACCCTCAGGTAAGTTTTTCTTGCCTGACTCCCTCCCTCCTTTCAGCCTCGCTGACCCAGAGAGGGAAAGGGTTGACTGCTAGTCGAATCATTCCATGGGACCTCTCTTCTCTCCTGTAATGGTTCAGGGGACCTGGAGAGGCTGCAATGTGGGTGGGGAGTTAGAGGTTGGGCTCTCAAAACTTAGCTAAGCTGCTAGGTAAAATTCAGTAATAGCTTCTACCTAACAGATTCCAGTTCAGTCAGTCAGATATGTAGCATAGAGGCCAGGGCTCACCCACAACCATGCAAACCAGTGCAGATCCATCCACCTCAATGAGGAAAGCAGTTGGTGAGCAGGAGAGAAGATGGAGTCATCTGGCCATCATCTCATTGAGACCTGATGGTGGAAAGGGGCCTGCCCTATTTGGTACTGACATCCTTATGCATATGGATGACCCTGTGGGACAAGAGCAAACCACTAACAGTTCATTGAGAGGACCACGGGATGTTAAGTGAGTTAGGAAGTGTTGTTCCTGTATTCCAAGTATTCTTTAGACCATGTATCCTGGTTTCACGCCATGGTAAAAGTATCTGTAGTAACATTACTGCAGGTGAGTTCTGAATATGTGAGTTCCCCAGGATGCTCTGTGTTTCCATGGCAACAGGCACTTCAGGTGGCCCAGCTACTCTACTTGTAAATGGTCCAAGATGGATGAGTTCAGATCTTTACATACATGGGAACCTCAAAGAGTATTGTGTTTTCCTTTAACTCTGTGCTTGAAATCGGAGACTTAATCTTTCTTAACTTTTCTTCTTATAAGCCACAAATGAATTAGAATAGTTTAGATACAATACTAATCTTCTCATGTTTTAAAAATAATTGTTTTTAACAGTAATAGAAGTGAAATCTTGTCATCAAATATAAACAGTTCTTTTATTGTAAGTAAATTGAAAATTCATATCTTTTTCTAAAATGGTTATTCCTCATGAGCCGATGGATCATTGTGAGCTTTTAGAAGCCACAGGAATTACTGATGATTGGATCTGATGTACAGTTCAGAATCTTCAAGTAGCCTGGAAAATTATCCATTGCTAAATTAACCACTGGAATCTCCTCTACTCATCTCTGAAATGGGATGTTGGTAATGACTCATTTTCTTATTCTAAAATGGACATTAAAATCTCCTTGAGAAGAAAGGGCTACATAAAATATGAATACCATTTCCCATCAGAAATGTACCACCCTTTTACACTTAAAGCTTGTGTTCGGAATACCCATACATAAGTTGGGTGTTAATAGCTTATGCCTAGAATCCTAGCTACTCAGGAGACTGATGTCTGAGGATCACAGTTCAAAGCTATCTCAAACATGAAAGTCCACGAGACTCTTCTCACCAATTAACTATTAAAATGCCAGAAGTGGAGCTATGGCTCAAATGGTAGAGCACAAAAACTTGAGCACAAAAGCTCAGAGATATACCCAGGCCCTAAGTTCAAGCCCCAGTATCAGCCCACAGCAAACACACACGCACACACATGCACACACACATATACACAAATACCCATAGGGGCCAGATGTATGAATCTTTTAAGCATGTTTATTCCACAAATATTCTCTGGATAACCCTATGTGTCAGATCCAGTTCCAGGCACACACAGCAGACAGAGACTTCACCTGCTACTGAGGAGACAATAGTAACGCAAAAATAAATAACGACGTTAAAAAGCGGTGGGTATGTGGACAAAAGGAAGTATAGAGGAGGGTGAGGGCCCCTCCAATCCCAGCTCAGGGGTTGTGGTCAGGAGAGGTTCATGCACAGGGTGATGGCAGTAGACTGACCAGGTTAAAGGCGGCATCAGGCTGGCTTCAGGGTCCAGAGGAACAAGGTATACTTTCTTATCCTCATTTCTTTCTTTATAAGTGAGACGATTACTTTATTTCTTCCACCACTCACATTTGAATATACTCTGAGGACCTGCCCATGTCTTCTCCCAAGCCTGTACCTGATTAGGAGCTTTGGAAACTGGGTTTACTCTTGCTACTTATCCAGCCATGTTACAAACTATGCAGATGCTGTTTCTTTCCGTTAGTTTTTTAAAAAATCAATTACCCGAGACTTCAATTTTTAGAATGAGTCTAAAATTGATTTCAATTAACATATTTTTTGCTTCTTTGTTCTGTGTAATATAAAGAGAAGCTTCCGTTGGTGTGAAACTATCTTCCACATTCCCTCTTGTAGGTGGTATTAAAAGTCTCTGTGGCTGTCACTAATTGTCCAGCCAGTGACAAAGAGAGGAACTGTGAGCTAGATGATGTCATAGAAGTATCACTGGCTACATAGCTAAGTCATTTGTTTTGAATATGCTTGAGGCTTCTTGGAAAATTACTTAACCTTCCAGAGCCAGAGGGTTTTTTTTCATCTTTAAACTGGTCTGGGAGAAAAAAAAAAAACTTACCTTGCAGCAGTATCATGAGAATTAGATGAGAAAAATAAAATTAAGCTCCTTGAAAAATGTTGGCACAACATCAATATTTGAGGAGCAAAAATAACTGTTATTCTAATCATTATTATTACTCTGACTTCTATTGCAAAATATACATTTTATCCTAGTCTCTATACTTCTCCTTTGCCTCTTTAGCATCATTTTGAATGTGTGAAGTTTAGGTCTTGTCTTTCAGCCACTTGTGGCAGAGGTAATGTGGATGGCCTGGAGTGCATGCGTGTGTGAATTCAGGATCTTCCATGAAGCGGCTGCAGAATGCTTAACTAAATGTCTCCTTACCTATCAAGTCGGGGAGATCATCTTCTAGACATCCTAGAGCTGGGCAGAGGATTGCATGAGTAACGTGCAGTTGAGACCTTTGTGGCGATGTTTTAGATGTAGGTACTCAGCAGATGTTTGCTCAGAGCACCCAGGCTCTGCTGCTCCCACACTGTGCCAAGCCTTGCCCTCATGGAACTGCAATTTCTCCCACACAGATTAAAGAGACAGTGATAATGTGGCTGTGATCACATCCCATCCCAGAAGCTTACTGGGAGTCATCTTCTCCCTTGCCCAAATAAGCTGCACTAAAGACAGGGTTTAATTTCTAATGGTTTTGTTGTCATTGCCTCTAAATTGCAGATTAAATCATAACAAGGCACTCAGAATGGGTATTTTTATTAGCTTATAATTAATTATATGGATAGAGGTTTCATTGGATGGGTATTTTTCAATGAATGAATGAATGAACAAATGAGCTAGTGTAGAGGTGCCAGACAAGTTCTCTATACCTACCACAGTCTCTTCATTTTTCTGTGCTTTTCTTATATGTTTAGTCTTCCTTTTTTTCTCTTTCAAATAATGTGGGTATCCCCAGGTGCCAGCATCTGGTTGTAAATTGCAGTTTGAAACACTTGAAGAAAAAGTCCCACTGCAAGGCAGAAATGCAGGTGTTCCTTTCAATTCACAGCAAGGAGGTTCTGGATTGAGCCGAACTCATTGGCATGAGCATATGCTCCCCAGCACCATTGGCCTCCCCGGATGTACTTTAGAGAGTAAACGGTTAGCAAGTTGTTAAGTGGCTACATTGGCAGCCACCAAGTGTCTCCTCAGATCCAGTGCTATTGCTGCCTTTTGCAGCAGGATTTTCAGGCAAGCATCAGGTCCTGTGGCCAGAGAACCATAGCTCCCAGACCTCAGGAGAATGTAGGCTGCAGGAAGCATGAGTAAGACCTGCCACCTCCCAAACATGATTCCCAATTATACTGTACCTCCTTTTTCTCTTCTGATGTTGTACTTTAGTCTGAAACAAATGCCATGAAAACAGACATGCTATAGCTCTCTTCCAAAAAGTATGCACAGCCCATCTGTCAATTTCTTATGATAAAACAAGAAGAGAAAGAAAGGACGAAATAACCTGCCACAAGCAGTGCAAACAAGAGATCACAGTGCTTATACATCTTAGAGTTCCATTGAACTTTAAGAAAAAATGCAGTGAAAGCATTGATCCTTCTATGACGTATTAACTACTAAGTACTCATAAGCTACCCCAGGCACCTGAGACTTGTGTTCAAGATAACATAATATCATACAGCCATCCCCTAGCTTAGGACCTAGACTATTTTACAGACCAACATTGCTTGGGAGGTTAAAGGTAGCTTCACCTTATCCTTTTTTCAGTTTCTGAAGGGTTTGTGAGGGAGGACATGCATAGTATCATTTTATGAATCCTCATGGTGTTAAGGAAAATGTATGATTAGGGTAGAAATCAAAATCTTCCATACACTCACCAAAATGAGCATTTGAGCCAGACAGGGCTGTTTAAAAAATGCATGTGATCTGGGTGCTTGTGGCTCAGGCCTATAATCCTAGCTGCTCATCAGGTTGAAATCTGAAGATCCAGTCCAGGCAAGAAAGTTCATGAGACTCACCTCCAATTAACCACAGAAAAGCCAGAAGTAGAGCTGTGGCTCATGTGTCAGAGTACCATCTTTGAGTGCAAAAACTGAAGGACAGTACCCAGGCCTCGAGTTTGAGTCCCTGTACCAGCACACAGACACAAAAATCTGCATGAGACTTCTACTGTTATTTTTTTCTTAAAAACATTACAATATAACCTATTTACAGCATTTTTCTAATTCACTATAGTGCTATAATGATAACATAAAATAAAACTTAGAAAGCTCCTTTATAATAAAGTACATAATTCAGTAAGGAAATACCCAAGAATGAGTATACTGTAGGGCATAGTAAAAAATAAGATACCTGTGTCTATAAATGGAGTTCCCCACTGAAAGCTGCAGCTACAAACATAGGCTGATACACAGCCTGTGTATAAGCTCAGCCTTCATAAGAAGGGAAACATCATTTTCTAAAATGATAAGCCACACTTGAGTGTTATAAATCAAACAAAATACAATCTTCCCTCAATGTACATACTTATTAAATTCCTAGAAAAATCCATGAATTAAAACTATGGAAAGAAACTGAATCTCCACGTTAATTCAGTTATTTCTAGGATCAAATAATCACCAACATGATATGGGATAATTAAATAACTTATACATTGGTCTTGAACATTATAGAATGCATGCTATCAATGCTAGAGGACCTTCAATACCATAGTGCCCGCCATCTGCAGTTACTATAAAAACCAAAACATGCCCCACTAATTTCCTTACTAATTACCTCTAGGGGGCAGTAGTTCTAAGAATAATTGAGCCATACCCAAGTAAGTAAAAATTATGAAACAAAGTGGTACTATTGTTCAGGACACTACACTAGTATATAATAGAGGAAGCGAAGAGAGCAAGTTTTAAGTTTAGCATGTCTTCATCTATCTAACTCCAGTGAAACTAGACTAAGAGTTATATAAAGATACTCTCTATTTCTTGTTCGTTGATATCTCTGCTTTGTTCCATAAAAGCATTCATCCCTGCTAGGCTAATCAATAAAAAAGGCCATAAGTTTTATCTGTGGCCTTCTCTGGAGGACAGAATAGGATTGGGGCAGGGAGAGGGGGAATGGAGATGTAGCCAGAAAATTCCCAGGCTTAGAATGTGGACTTGAGATCCTGTGTATCCATTGAGAAGCAGCTGGCTCTGAGACTGGAATCTGGAGAAATCATGTATAGGACATGGTTTCTCTGACTCTGGATATCCTACATTCACTCTTCTTTTTGTCTTGGTCCTATTGTACCATACCTACATATTCTTCCTGGCAGCCATGAAAATGCTTGTTTTGAGAGGCCAGGCAAAGCTAGTTTCTCTACCCTCTGCTCTGCCTGGATAGCCACTCATCTCTCAGCTGAACACACAGGTAGCCATTATATCCTCTCAGAATCATGGGAACCACTGAAAACACATGAGAGTTTCTAACAGGCCTGTAGTATACTAAGTCATTTCCTGGTGGGCCAGGCCCATTGATTAGGAAAGACCAGAAATTGGTGTTGGCCATTTGCATGAGATAGTGAGGCACCAAGGCAAGTCACTGACTTTGCAAACAACTTTTGTATAAATGCTTGACACTACCTCATGCAAGCTGCATGGTCCTAAGAAAATTTCACTTCCTCTCTGAGACCAGTTTTCTCATGTGTAAAATGGAAATAGTAAAAACGTGCCATGTGCGATTTTGTGAAGACATAAAACAGCACAAAGTGTGGGCGTTTAATAAGTGGAAATTTCTGGGTGCTGGTGGCTTATGTTTGTAATCTTAGCCTCTCAGTAAGCTGAGATCTGAGGATCCCTGCAGTCACTGGTTTGAACACAGCCTAGGCAGAAAAGTATATAAGACTTGTTTCTTGTCTCATCGATCATCTGAAATCCAGAAGTAGAGATACAGTTCAAGGCAGAGTGCTAACCTTGAGCAGAAAAGCCAAGTGAGAGAGTAAAGTCCTCATTTCAAGCCCCAATACTGGCACAAGAATTAAAAATGAAAAATATCGCTGACATTATTATTATTGTAACAAATACCATTATACTCCTATTAAAATGTATATGTCTTACCTGAAAAAACAGTAGAACAAACAAGTATTATAGTAATATAGGAGAATGTGCCCTGAAATGTTCTAGTGCAATGGTACCACTGTATGAGGTCCCCTAATTGAATAATAGGTTTTATTGTCTCTAAAATTGGACTACTAATGACACAGAAATAATGTATCAAATACCTGAATATGTAATCTCAATTTTCAGTCCAAACCAATTAGACAGAAAATAGTGCACTGACAGGTCAGGACACAGCCTGGCTGAGGTTAAGCAGCATACCTGAAGAAGCCCCAGTCTGAATTTCAACTTACGCCTTAAAAGTTTCTCACTCACTTTGAGAAGGAAGGTCTTGCTACCTGATCTTGTGACTCTTCAGAGCTTAAGTAGTTGAGAATGTCCAACATTCAGCAAAGAAAGCAAAGTCTAAAACCCAAGCAAACTTGCCTTCCAACCTTCTTCCCCTTCCACTGAGTTACACTGACTTCTAGGTCAGGAGACTTACAAAACTTGAACAGCGATCATAGCATTAGTGTTGTCTTCCAAGCATTTGTATGGCTTGTCCCATTCAGTCTTCTAGGGTCTGCATGTGAGCCATCTCCCATGAGAAGTCTTTTCTGAGTACTTCTTCAGAAGGTAGACTCCATGAGGGCAAGAACACGTGTGTGTGTGTGTGTGTGTGTGTGTGTGTGTGTGTGTGTGTGTGTGTGTGTGTGTGTGTGTGTGTGTGTGTGTGTGTGTGTGTGTGTGTACTGGTATTGAGACTTATACTCAGTACCTGGCCATTTGCTCCTTTTTTACTTAAAGCTGGCATGCTTTACTGCTTGGGTTTAAATCTTTCTTTAAGTGGTTATACAAAGGACTTGCCATTTAACAAAGCAGTTTATAAGTACCTTGATCAATGTCATCCCCTGGATGATTTTGATCCCATTGATCAAGCATCTTGATCAATGTCACCCCTTTCAACATTCTCTTCTCTCCTCTACCCAGCTCTCCTTACATCAAATCCTGGACTGCATTCTCCCCCTCTTCTCCTCTTCATTTATCCACCTCTTACCCATTCATCCCACCTCTGCCCCTTTCAAGTACCTGCTTCCTAGTGTTGTATTTTGCTGAACTTTAAGTGGACAGGTTGGTTAATGGGAGATAAGGGTTTCACGGACTTTCCTGCCTGGGCCTGTTTCAAAACCATGATCTTCAGATCTCAGCTTCCTGAGTAACTCTAGGATTACAGGTGTGAGCCACCAGTGCCTGGCTAGAAGTTGTCTTATTCTTGCGGGCATTTCTGGTCCCAGCATACAATTTGGCCTTTTTGTACAAAACAGTACCATTCTGTCCATCACATAAATCGATGAATTCTTCCCCAAGACGCCTGACTTTCCTTTGTTTCTCTCTATCGTAGGTTATGTTGCTATGGGCGCCGTCCTCCCATCCTTCTGGGGCCAGCAGCCCCTTGTCCAACAGCAGATCGCCATGGGTGCTCAGCCACCAGTTGCTCAGGTGATGCCAGGGGCTCAGCCCATCGCCTGGGGCCAGCCGGGTCTCTTTCCTGCCACTCAGCAGCCCTGGCCAGCTGTGGCCGGGCAGTTTCCGCCAGCCGCCTTCATGCCCACACAAACTGTTATGCCTTTGCCAGCCGCCATGTTCCAAGGTCCCCTCACCCCCCTTGCCACCGTCCCAGGCACGAGTGACTCGGCCAGGTCAAGTCCACAGAGCGACAAGCCCAGGCAGAAAATGGGGAAGGAAATGTTTAAAGATTTCCAGATGGTCCAGCCTCCACCCGTGCCCTCCCGCAAGCCCGACCAGCCCTCCCTCACCTGTACCTCAGAGGCCTTCTCCAGTTACTTCAACAAAGTCGGGGTGGCACAGGAAGCGGATGACTGTGATGACTTCGACATCTCCCAGTTGAATTTGACACCTGTGACTTCTACCACACCATCCACCAACTCACGTGAGTGCCTTTTCCTTGAGCCATAAAACCCAATGAGAGAGCTATGCTTTGTGTCTGGCCATCAGGTTTCTGGAGTCAGCAAATGGGTCTCACTTGCAGACATCAAGGTTTTCTGTTGCTGCCTCTGTCAATCAAAATAGCTACTAACTCAAGTACTTACAATATCTGCCTTTCCATATGCGTATAGGCCTATTTTTTGTACTCATAACAATGCTGCTGGCAAGTTTTATGAGACCTATTTGACAGATAATGACACTGAGAGATGAAGTTGTAGAACTGAACACAAACCAGGTGTTTTTCCCAATGCCAGGATGACCTCTGACTTAGTTTATTCATTCATGCATGCATGAACGGATGCATTCATTCATTTGGTTGTATCTGTGCCATTTTCAGCTCATTGAAGTGAAAATGAATAGAAAGTAAAAAAAAATTAAATATTTAAGAACAAAGTCTAAAAGTTAGAGTATAAATTTAAGATCATGACTTTTTTGGGGGGCCGGGCAGTGCCAGTACCGAGATCTGAACTCAGGACACTGTCTGTTACTTTGCTTTTCACTCCAAGCTGACACTCTACCACTTGAGCCATATGTCTCCTTCTAGCTTTTAGGTAATTAATTAGAAATAAGAGTCTCATGGATTTCCTACCTGGTCTGGCTTTGAACCATGATTCCAGCCTCCTAAGTAGTTACAGAGCCACCAGTGCCCTTCCAGGATCAAAATCATAGCAGAGCTATGGCATCTATAAAGCTATGTTCAGCTGTATAGATGCTTGAAACAAGAGTTGGGCTCCAACTCCTGATAGCGAAAGAGAAAAAAAGATGGTGGTCTTTACTAGTTTACTAGATGGTGTTTACTAGTTTTGTGCTTTGGTTTAAGTACTTTTATTTCTACGAGCCTCAGATTCCTCATCTATCTAAGGCTAAGCGTTTATTACAAGGTTTTTTTTGTACACTGGGCTATAATTCGGTGCCTCATACCTGACACCCCAGCTTTGAGGGGGGATGAGGTAAGAACATGGAAGTCCAAGGCTGGCTCCAGGCAAAAACATGAGATAATAGCTGAAAAAGAATCTAAGGCCCAAAGAGCTGGAAGAGTGGCTCAAGTGGTAGAACACTTGCCTAGCAAGTGTGAGTCTCTGAGTTCAGAACCACAGTGTTGCCAAAAGTAAGATGAAAAGGCTATAGTTATACATATGAAAACATATATTTAAAAAACTAGAATATTATTGTCAAGTGATTCTTGTGCAGGGCCCTGAGCCAGGTTTGTGTTTTTATTTTATTTTATTTTAATTTTTTTCCATTCCTGGGGTTTGAACTCAGGGTCTAGGCTGTGTCCCTGACCTTCCTACTTTTTGCTCAAGGCTAATGCTCTACTCCTTGAGCCATAGCTCTCCTTCTGGCTTAGGCCAGGCTTTTATTATATGGTTTCTCTGAAACTCAGTGAATTGATTGGATGAATGGTGCCTCCTTCTAGTCCCAGCATCTAATAACTCTGTCCTAGCTCACTTTCCTACTGCACATATCAAGAAAACTGAACACATTCAACCAAGCCACAATCCAGACACACTTGATCACTCTCCTGCTTGTTTGACACAATTTAGAAAAGGTGTTCTGGTGACTTGGCCTATGGCTTGACAATTGATAAGGGGAAAGAAGACACTCATGCTACAGTGAATTGGGCATTTTCATTACTGTCATCAGTGACACAGATCACTGCATGGGCAGTACCTTGAATTGTTAAAAAAAAAAAATCTAATGTTAATACAATTAGATTGTATCATTTCAGTCAGGTTCCTGATGCATTTTCAAACTGAATGCCTTTGAATGTGTATAAAAAGAAAACCTACATGTACTCCAGCCTGAACTTCTATATTGTAGGGAAATATCTATTAACTCTGACTCATAGGGTTTCAATGAAGGATGATGTATAAAAAATGAAATGCTAAAGAAATAACAGTCATGCATAAAAGGAAAACCAACATTTTTTTTTTGGTTGGTCATGGGGCTTGAACTCTGGGCCGAGACGCTATCCCTGAGCTCTTCAGCTCAAGGCAAGAGCTCTATCATGAGCCACAGCGCCACTTCCTCAACCAACATCTTTTAAAAACAAATATCATGCTCACTGGTGGCTCATGTCTATAATCCTAGCCACTCAGGAGGCCAAGACTTGAGGATCATGGTTCAAAGCTAGCTTGGGCAGGGAAAGTCCATGAGACTCTTATCTCCAATTGACCACCAGGGCTGGCTTTGAACCACAATCCTTAGAGTACCTATAATTACATGGATGAGCCACCAGTGCCCGGTTATGGTTGTGTTTTAAATCAGAGTTTTACAACCTTGACCCTATTAATCCTTGGAGCCAGATACTTCTTTGTTGTAGGAGGCTGTCCTGTTAACTGTAAGATGTTAGCCTTTGCTGTGGCCTGAACCCATGTGGTACAAATAATATATATCTACTTTCTTTTTTTCTTTCTTTTCTTTTTTTTCCCCGTGTGTGTGTGTGTGTGTGCGCGCGCGTGCACACGTGCATATGTGCATGTGTGCGTGCGCACACGTACCCTGAAGCTTTAACTCAACGGCTGGGTGCTGTCCCTGAGTTTTACTGCTCAGTGCCAGTGTTCTACCATTTAAGCCTCAAGTCCTACCTCCTTAATCATCCTTTTTTTTTTAGTCATTACAATCAAAAATGACTTCAGATCTTGCCAAATGTTCTCTGGGGATGAATTTGCTCCAGATTGAGAACCACTGTTAAAACCTCCTAAAGATTAAGGCACTTGCATAAATAAACTCCTAGTTTCCCATTGATTTCATTGGGTAAGTATGAGCAATAACCTGTCAAAATTGGCAGTTCAGCCTTTGGTAAGCAATAAACCAATTCAAACACAATTCAGAATCCAATTAAGCTAGCTGGGCATGATGGAATGTGCCTGTCATTTCTGCACTTGGGAGACTGAGGCAGGAGGGCCTCAAGTTCAAGACCGGACTCCATAGTGACGCCCTGTCTCTAAAAATAGAAAATCTAATTAAGCTAATACTTATTAAACATCTACCCATCAGGGTGTTTTTACATGGCTTTAATCCTACTGCAGCTAGTTTATTCTGAAGTCATCTCATGAACAGTAGAACTCCTTTGTCTTTTGTTTTTTCATTAGCATACATTATTGTACAAAGAGGTTTTATTGTGGTATTTACAACATACATACAATGTACTTTGGTTGAGTTTACTCTCTAGAATTCCTTTCAAATAAAAAAAAATTAAATGTATTTGAAAGAAAATGGATGAAACCAATCTATATATACTCTTACCTATCAATATCCCTTTGAGAATGTCTTGAGTAGAAGATTGGTCATAACCAAAATGAACCTCAAACAGAAAACAGAAAGGCACAGCTGGACTGAGCAGTGTCACACAGATCCCACAGCTCATAGCTCATAGTTCATAGCCCTGAGCCTCTCTGAGCAGCTCTCTGAGCTGTTGCTTCTAACATCTGTGGGACAAAGAGACAGTAACAGCATGTGTTTGTTTATATTAGGACTATGGAAAGGTTTTTTTTTTTCCTCATTGGCATGTTGTAGATAATTAGAATTTGAAATAACATCATTATTCTAAATACAGGTTCACTGGGGTAAAAGATACACAACCAAGTATTATAATCGCTCACTGTCTGATTAAGTTGCCAGGTTTTCTAAGATCTGGGAAGTTACAGCAGGGAAGTCCTATCAGTGGCATGGCTTGTCAGCTACTAAATCAAACCATCTCGCCTCTTCACTTGGGACTAAGTCAGTATGTCCTATGCTAAATTAGAATTACTAGACAAGTAGTTTCCAATATATTCATTATTAACCTCGGGAAATGATGAGAAAGAAAAATGTGGTAAAGTCAATACAGTGAATTTGCATTCTTATAGAATCAAGTGTCCCGCTGTGATGGTTCAACATGTTTGTGAGCACCTGCTTCGTGCCAGAATCCAAAGCCAGGTTCTACCAGTTGCCATGAGCAAAGTCATAACCTTCGCTCTCCTTCTATGGGAAGCTAGGATAACCTTTACCTCAAAAGAATTTTAGGAGGGTTTAGAGATATTGTTTCTAAAATGTAAAATGTCCAGCAGTGTCTGACACATGAAAGGCACATAAATATGTTCTCTTGTGAAATACAAGAAAGCAAACTACATGCATCAGAATCCCTTGCACAGTTGGGGATTTCTTGATCTCACTTGGTTTCCAAGGATAGGCATTCCTCACAAGCTCCTGGATGGTGCTCCTGCTGGCAGTCCAGGGATCATCCCCTGAGGACGGCTGCATTTCCCATCAGCATGGACAAGTCTCTTTCTCCATGATGAAGTATGTAAGCATGCAAGATAAACATGTATAGGAGAGGAAGTCAGATATTTACATTATTTGGTTTGGGGGTGGGAAGAGGAGTCCTAAGATTTGACTTGAATATGCGCAAATCCCTGAAGTGTCTTTGGGATATAAATGTTGGTATTGGGCACTTAAGGTGGCGTCTGTTTTTTTTTCTTCTGTTTGTTTTGCATGGTCTCTCTAGCTCCAACCCCAGCCCCTAGGCAGAGCTCTCCCTCCAAATCATCTGCATCCCATGCCAGTGATCCGACCGCAGATGACATTTTTGAAGAAGGCTTTGAAAGCCCCAGCAAAAGTGAAGAGCAAGAAGCTGTAAGTGCCAAGCCTCTTATTTCTGCTTCATTTTTCCTTCATAGTAAGACTTCTGTATTTGAAATAGACTGCGCATAAAGCAGCTTATGTAGGAGAGAATGCGGCCTCGGACTCTGAAGTTCTAAAGGGTTGTTGGAGGGGCTCTCTCTTAATATTCAAAGGCAGCTGCCAAAAAATGCTGTCCTCATATGTGATTGTTACAAGCTCTTGGAATTATGGGGTGGTACCATCTGACCAAAGTTGCCACTCCTTTTAAATAACTTGATTGTATGTGCTGCATGAAAAGATTCTTGGTTGCCTTATATTTTCACTTGTTGAAAAGGACCAAAAAAAAAAGTGTTATCTTCTTGTTGTGTTCTAGCCTGATGGATCACAGGCCTCCTCCAACAGTGATCCATTTGGGGAGCCCAGTGGTGAGCCAAGTGGTGATAATATAAGTCCACAAGCCAGTAGCTAGATAGCACAGGTCTGGGTAGGTATCTGTTCTTTTTATCTCCTTCACCCTTAAGCCTGTTGCTTTCCCTCTTGCTCACTTCTAAGATCATATTCCCAGTCTATGTATTTTTCTTCCATGCTTGTAATGTATTACCAATATGTGTACCATCTCTCTTTGCCTATGCTTTATTTCCTGAAAAAAACTGTCTTTCTATTACCAGTGCTTGCTCCATCTCTCCAGGTCTGAATGAGGTTTCTGATGTTTGCACCATCCCTCCTTGCGTGTGCCAAATTACCAATGTTTGTAGCATCTCTCCCTTCCTAGTTTCTATTTTCCACTCTGTTTTTCATTCTCATAGATGAATGACCTTTGACTTATACCAGGAAGTATACTTGTGGGGAAGCATTGTTCTATTTTATTCATTGTTTTATTAATGCCTTATACTGAGAGTACAGTGGGGCTAGAATGAATCCTGGTCAACCTGACTTCATATGGGTTGAATTCCTAAAAACATTGATTTTGGGGATAGGCGTATTTTACAACATCTTGATCATTTCCCAGTGAGACGTGGTCCAAAAATGCTCTAATCTTTTAAGCAAAATGTCACTGCATTTTCCTCCATGCCCCAGACCGAAAGAGGTCACCAATAAAATACACTGAGAATTCACAATACACAGTTTAAAAGCAAAAACAAAAACAAGCAATGCTTGCAATGTTATTGATGGACATGTAAGACCCTGGTAGCCCTTTTCATATAGGACCCCTGCCAAGGTGTCAGGGAAATTCAAAGCTCAAAGACATACAGCTGTCCCTTTTTGAGGCTTGCTCTTCGCACCTGTGCTACACTGTGTGGTTTGTCACCAAGTCACTTGAGATTCCATCAGCAGCTACTTTGAGAGAGATGTACTTACACTGCCTAGAAGTGGTTCTTGGCGCTTGAATTTCAATACATCTGATTTGATGCAAAGAAAGAAGAGCAGATGCAGCAAGACTTCTCGGGAGACAGAAGTACACCTTATTACCCACACATGATTTCTAAGGTCTCTTCTTGATAAATGTATTCAATTTTAAGATCCTTTCCTAGTATTTTCATAAACTTGCAGGGCTGCAAGGCCGTACCCAAAGAGCTCCTTCTTTGAGTCCTGAACGGCATTATCAGAGCCATTAAAATGGTAAACAGTTCCCCACTGCCATGAATAGAATCTGAGGCTACTTCAGAATCATCCTCAGTTCATGCATAAGTTATTGAAAGTTAATACCGTGTTTTGCAAGTTGCAGTTTGTTATAGATGTTATCATTAAAGAAAGTAACATGCATATTTGGCCACATGTTATTATGTGTTATTCTACATGATGTATTATTACATGTTATTTATTCCTCTTCAATAACATGTAATAATACATCATGCAATTTAAAAACCATATAATATACCTAGTTAAACAAATCGTTTAAATAGGGATTCAGATGGACCCATTGCAACAATGAGATGTACAAGTCGTTATGTTGAAAAACAAACTTTACAACTTTGGCGAGGGGGGGGGGGGAGATGGGAAAGGATAGGAAGGGGAAACAAAGGAGGAGGCAACAATGCTTGATAAGAAATGTACTCATTACCTTGCCCATGTTATTGTAACCCTCTGTACAGTATTTTCACAGTAAAAAAAAACATATAAAAATTTAAAAAGAAATATAAAAAAATCAGTCTTCCAAAACTATTTTGGGGAGCTGGCGTATTAAAGACAAAGTCAAAGCACAAGGAAAAGAGAACTTTCTTCCATCTTGCATATACTCAACATTGCCCTGTAAAATGTGATGAATGAACCAGAAGTGGCAAGAGCCATTCATCAGGAGAGTGACTAACATCATCTTAAAATTGAAGTTCTTCTAGAAAACAAAGGTGACTTACATTATTTGCTGATTGATTTATCAAGCCCTCATCTCCTGAGCCTGTTCAGCTTGAGGCAATCATGCAAGCTGTCTCACGGCTTTGCTTGCTCGGTTCCATATGGCACACCTAGCCATGGCTTAGTTCCAAAGGGACATAGGACAATATTGTGGCAGAGGCTCGAATTATGAAACTTGAGTTCAAATCCTACCTCAGTCACTTACTGGAGGAAAATCTTGGGAAGAGCTATACTGGTTTGTTTTGGGGTGTTTTGTTTTTGAGTCTTGATTTTTTCACCTTTGAGAGCAGGCTTCTATTATCCTCGGTGTGACCTGAGATAGCATATACTGAGTTTCCAACATGGAGACAAACACTGGGCTCTGGGGTAACGCTGTCTTTCCTCAGCATTCGGTACCACCACTGCTTGGCTCTGTGATTCTGCTGAGATTTCATGACAGTTCTCTAATCTTAGTTAATCTGATTTTCTTCTTTTGAAAAATACTTATAAACAGGGATGTCCTCCTCAAAGGGGTTTTGGATGAACTAAATGGGATAATGCATGTGGAGTTTTAGTTCAATATCATAGAATGCACCTGATAAAAGTTAGCTGCCATCATTACCACCATGCTCCTCACCATCATCCTAATTACCGCCATTACATCTGTCACTATCACTTGCAATACCACCATCATTATCATTAATACCCTTACCCCTGTCACTACCACACCGATACTACCACCATTGTTGCCATCACTACATTAATGCCACCATCATCATCACCAATGCCATCATCATCACCAATACTCTCATCACCACTAATACTAGGTCTGTCACTACCACTAGCACCATTATCTCCATAATCATCATCACTACTGCCAATAACACCACCACCACTAATGACACTACCATCATCACAACCATAATCAATGCTATCATCATCACCACTACCACCACTGCCCCCATCAATACTATTACCATCATTGTCAGCAATACCACCAACACTGTTATCACCATCACTGTAACTATTGTCATCCTCACAGCCACCATCATTATCATATAAGTTCAATTAACATTAACCGCTGACTTCCTTGGATTTTATACATTTAGCTCTTGTGTTGAACAGGTTATTGGCCTGGAGGTTGTTTTGGTTTGTTGATTTCACATGCACATCTTGATTGATGTGGTTTTGTTTGATTCTTTGGATGTCCAGGTAACTAATTTTCCAAATACCCCAAAAAGCTTGGAGTGATGGAAAGGTCTATTTGGTAGCTGTTCACCTGACCACCTTGCATAATCAGAATGATCCCAGTTTGAGCTTCCCAGGCCACCTCTCATATCCAGAAAGCATAAGACTTAGATTAATATGCAAACCTTTTTTTTCTTCCTTTTTTGTCATTCGTGGGGATTGAACTCAGGGCCTGGGCACAGGCTCTGAGCTCTTTTGTTCAAGGCTAGTGTTTTACCACAGCTCCACTTCCAATTTTCTGGTGGTCAATTGGAGATAAGAGTCCCACGGACTTTCCTGCCTGGGCTGGCTTTGAACTTCAATCTTCAGCTCTCAGCCTCGTGAGTAGTTAGGATTACAGGTGTAAGCCACCAATACCTGGCTTTATATGTAAATCTTAATTTCCTCTCAACCCCTAAGACAACCAGATTACAATCTTTGGTGAAGTAATTTTCCCCTTTTCTAAGTTTAACAGGGCCATTTCACAGGTCCCTGTGAAAAACCGTGTGCCAGAGGATTGATGCCACCCATGCAGGCAGATTCCCTACAACCTTATAGGAGAAGCCTTCTGGTACACTCCATCAATGGCAGCATATGCCACTTGCAATCTCTGTCTCCATACCCTTCACACACTGAAAATTTACTGACTTCAATTTCTTACTGCCTTTCTGGACATTTAAGAAAGGGAAGGCATGAAGGAAGAGTTATGGCCAGGGCTTTATTCCCTATCCTCCTACTCACTGTACCCCACCCCCAATTTCATAACATGGAAAAGCAAGAGTCCCAACCTTCTTATTACTCTTGAAAGCATTATCTCCAGCTGTTTTTTTTATTAGAAATAGCCACACAGTTCTGAGTAAATAGGGATGACATCTGTTGATAAGTTAAAGCTATATTGCTCCAGAGTAAGATGAAACAGACAGACTCCATCCCTACAGGGAGAGGCTTCAGAGCCAATCCTAAACATTTCTGTGTTTGCAATAAAGGAAAATATCTTCAATTATTTCACTGTTCCTCCTCTGCTTTCCCATCTGAGAGAATCACGTGTCTTTGAAAAACTGAGTCAACAGGGACAAAAAAAAGACCCCAAATAATATTATAATGGTTGGTGTGGGAATGGCAGGTAATTTATACTTCACTGATGTGTGTTGCTGGAGCAATTTTGAGGGTGAAATGTTAGCTTTTGAAGAGATGAAAGAAAAATGAAAACATTTATTTGGTTAAATGGCTAAGTAAATAAACTGCCTATCAGACTTTCCCAGCTGTCAAGTCAAAGTAGCATCTGTAACAATAGGAATTGTTTGGTCTGTCTCCCATTGTAACAATAGATACTGCCATAAATAATAAGTTGCTGTCATTTTTTTAACACTGATCTTCATAGTGGGAACCCAAGACATAAAAAGTATTACTTGGTAGATTTCAGTGTGCAAGAGGAAAGAAAGCTGAACTTCAGATGCTTTGGGAGAAGGAATCTTATTTTTTCAAAAAAGAAGAGAAAACTCCAGTTAAGGGTCTGGAGTGTGAATATGGCTCCAGTACAGGTAACCTTAGGCAAGCATTTCTTCTCTCATATGAAGAAGTGCAAAGAATTTCAGTAACTCCCTTTCCACAGTATCCAAGAATCACATGATATCACAAACAAAAAATGGCTTATCAACTTTGAAAGTAAAAATAGTTGAGATTATTATCAGCATTCTGTGTTTAAACAGAACTGAACAACAGAGGCTAATTAATTGTCTATTTCATGGGCATATGAATCTTAGACAAGTAAGTCTAACTGAAACTTTTGGAGCCCCAGTTCTTCAGACCTCTTTAAAGAAACAACCTTTGATGTCCCCCAGTGAATAAGTCAGAAAGTAACCAGAGTCTGCCTAAAGGTGGTGACCACTTAGATGGTCTCAGTGTCAAGAG